AGGCGTCGAACGCGAGACCATTGGGATGTTAGTTGTGACCGCTGCATCTCGAGAGCACGCCTCGCTGTTTTTAGGCTGAGGCACTTGTGGCGTCGCCACGACATTCGTCTCTCCATCAAAGGGCGGGTCTATTGTGCAACTGTTCGTGCTGTACTGTTGTACGGATGCGAGACCTGGCCCATTCGTAAGGATGACTTGCGCAGGCTATCCCTCTTCGAGCACCGCTGTCTGCGGTCCATTGCCCGTGTGTGGTGGCAGCACCACGTAAGCAATTTGGAAGTTAGACAGCGTGTCTTGGGACGTGGAAGCCACTCGCTCGAGGAGCTCATCTCACTGCATCAACTGCGGGGGTTGGGACACGTATTGCGCATGCCTGTCCAGCGTTACCCCCGTCGTGCATTGTTTGCGGTTGCTGGACAGGGCTGGAAGAGACGGTCTGGTGGACAGCCTACAACATGGAGAAGCCGCATGAAAAAGTTGACGAAGCAGTTGGCCTCGGCCGGTTGTTGTCGACTACCTGGTTGGGGTCCTAGAGATGAGGATACTTGCTGGTTGAAGACCTTGGAAGTTATGGCTCAAGATCAATGTCAATGGCGGACGTGTGCATCAGTGTGTTGCGGTGTCCCTTCTTCCTCCCCCTAAAAAAGAACAAACTGAAAAAATTTCAAAAACTGTGAGTGGTAAGCTTGACAAAAAAGACATTTCTTGTTGCTCTTTTCTTATTATTCATATTATTTTCCTATTCAGCCATGATTCCGATGGCACAATATCTGTACCACAGATTGTGTATAATATATATATGTAAGCCACCGGTTCGCGGGCAACACAACGGTATAATGAGCGATGTTGAGGGTCATTGTGAAGTACACGTTGTGTGGATGGATTGCGAGGCGTAATCTTAATGTTGACTGTGATTCTCATCGAAGAGAAGCTTGGTCTTTCGATCAGGAGGACCGTAGCTGATGCAAATTGTTATAACGCTGTGCCCTGCAAGCGACCGGTTGATTTACGCCTGCTGCTAAATCTGCGCCCTTACGCGTGCTCTGTTTAACGCCTTGACAAACCCGACCTGAAGGAAGACAGAAGAGTACTCAGCAGACCAGAGTTCTATTAGGGCAGTGAAAGCTCATAATTATATGTCGGTATTACAATGCGGATTTGACTATACGCCCACGCTCCACACATACTTGTCCGCTCCATCTATCTAGTTCACCGTGTTGCTCGCGCATTCCAGTCTTCGTCCGCCTACGCAACGCACGGCAACGCGCGTGATGTCTGACGCGCGATTTCATCAGCTTCCGGTCAGGCTTTGGCGACAGGCCCGGTGTCTGATGCGCGATTTCATCAGCTCTCGGTTGGGTCCTGCTAACACGCTCGCATGGACTTTCCCACACACGATAAGTGGCAAACGCGCGAGCATTGGCACTCAGTTTTCTTGCCCAGCTGTCACCTCCCCTTCCGAATTGAGTCACCTTGCACACCCTTGGAACCTGATTATGTTCGTAGCTTTTCGCCCGGGGATCGATTTGCAGCCGTTCTGGTCTTCTCCGCTTCCGAGACGGCCTGCATTGTACATACGATTTTTGCGGCATTTGTTTCGCCACACCTGGTGGCTGACCCTCAGCTTCCAACCCGAACGTGTCTAGTAGGATATCCCAATGTAAAGCTGGTGGTTCTTGGGGACCTTGGGTTTTGCCATGATTCGGTCTCAACTGAATGATGTGCCTAATCCATCTCTCACGTCCAACCATCACCTCATAGATAACTCTGCCTTTCCTGCTGATAACATTTCCACTCGACCACCCCTTCGGCCTTCAAAAATCCCGGGCGTAAACCATGTCACCAACATTGAAATTTCGGAGCTTGGTTTTGCAACCTTCGTCCAGGTGACTGTTGCCGTGCTTTTCTATTCTTCTTGGTAAAAGAATATCGAACGACGTCCGAATCTTTCTTCCAAATAGTACTTCTGTGGGGGCTTTCCCATCAGGAGAGTTTGGATTCGGAGCGTTCCGATACATGCATAGAAAAGATTGAATTGCATCCTGTGAAGCCCTTATTTGCCCTGCTTTACGGAGTGCACGTTTGAACGTGTCCACAAACCTTTCCGCCTGTCCTTTGATTGCGGATGATATGGTGGTGAGAACATCTGCTGAATTTCCTTTTCCTTGAACCACTCGCGAAAAGAAGTCGAGGTAAATTGTGTTCCATTGTCTGTCACTAACACCTCTGGCAGGCCGAAATATCGGAACAGCTTCTCCAGCTCTTTGACAGTGTGCTGAACAGTCGGATTGTTTACCGGAATCACATCAGGCCACTTGGTGAATGAGTCAACCAAAACGAGATAGGATTGGCCATTGATTGGTCTTGCATAGTCTAAGTGTATTCGTTGCCACGGTTTCTCTGCCTTAGACTAAGGTTGCCACTGACACTTGAGAGGAGCCTTCGCTGCAAGTTGACAAGATTCACACTGTTGGCAGAATTTTTCAATTTCCGAATCCATTTCTGGCCAGTAAACAAAACTGCGTGCCAAGGCTTTCATGCGGCTGGTACCAGGGTGCCCCGTGTGGAACTGCTGCAATATTTGCCTCTCTAATTTCCTTGGCACCACCACTCAATCTCCAAACATCAGACAATTGTCCACGACTGACAGGGATCCACGTCGATGGTAAAACGGCCGCAACTCCATAGGTATGCCTTCATTTGGCCAACATGTTCGTACACAATGCATCGCTTTCTCCAAGATTCTGTCCCGTGATGTCTCCATACGAATAGTGTCGGTTGTTACTGGTAGTCTTCTCACATTATCAACCAGGATTCGTTGGACTTCTGCTTCGAAACTGATAGCTACAATCACGCAATCATCATTCTCCTTTGGGTGTGAACTGATGAGACGAGACATGGCATCCGCTTGACCGATCTGTTGCGTCGGTTTATACTGTATGCTGAAGTCGTAGGCCAGTAGTGTTATCGCCCATCGTTGCAATCGGTTCGCCGTAAAAACTGGAATTCCTTTCTTTGAATCGAATATCGACAGATGTGGCTTGTGGTCAGTCAGGAGCGTGAAATGTCTGCCATACAACATCTTATGAAACCGTTTCATTGCGAAAACAATCGCGAGCGCTTCCTTCTCTATCTGGCTATAGTTCTTTTCAGCTGGCGTTAGTGACCGTGCTGCGTGCGCGATAGCCTTCTCTCCTCCATGCGGAAAAACATGGGAAATAACTGCACCGACACTATAATTGAAAGCATCCGTAGCAACGACAGTTTTGAAATTCGGATTGAAATGAGTCCAGAGTAGATCAGAGGTGAGAGCTGCTTTGACTGCATCAAAAGACTGCTGGCACTCCTTCGTCCATTTCCAACCCTTGTCTTTTGTCAGTAGCTGGTTCAGCGGACCTCTGAGTTGGTGAAGGCTTGGTAGGAAAGCACTGTACTGGCTAACGAGCCCAAGAAACCAGCGGAGCTCTGCAATGTCTTCTGGTGGCTTCATCTATTTGATGGCTTCAATATTGGCGAGATGCGGGCGCCGGCCATGTTTGTCAATGATAAACCCAAGAAATTTGACACTTTCTAATAGGAACTCACCTTTTCAGCCCGTAATCGGAATCCAGCTTCCTGTAGACGCGAAAGCACTCTCTCCAGTGTCTGTATCAAGTCTTGCGGATCTGAGCCCATAATCAACGCATCGTCCAGGTACACTGCTGTATTTGGGATATCGCTCAGCAGGGTATTCATTATTTGTTGAAAAATGGCCGGTGCGGTTTTCACTCCGAACGGCAGCCGGTTGTACTGAAAATGTCCGAGGTGAGTATTTACTGTCAGCAATGTTCTGCACTGATTGGCAACTGGGATTTGCAAATACGCATCAGCTAGGTCAAGTTTTGCGAAACATTTCCCCCCATTGAGTTTGCTGAACAAGTCTTCTGGTACCGGCAGGGGATACTGGTGATCTCCCAACACAGAATTCAAACCTGTCGAGAAATCAGCACAAATACGGACTTTACCGTTTCCCTTCTTTACCGCCACGATAGGTGCTGCCCATTCGGAATAGTGAACTCGCTCGATTATCCCTTCAGATTGTAGTCGGTTTAACTCGGCTTCCACTAAGGACTGGGTTGCGTAGGGCACCGGGCGTCTTGGTCTAATGACTGGCTTGGCGTCTAGTTTAAGGTTCAATGAGGCAGTAGCTATGTTGCAGCATTCGAGACCAGGTTGAAACAATGCATCGTGACGTCGTTTCATCTCGGCAATCTGACTTTGAAACATCGGGCTTCAAGGTGACGGTTGTGACAGCAGATTGACTTGCGGTGGCTGACAAATACTGTTCACTGATTGATCAAGCAGTTTCAGTTCATCCATCCAGTCGAGCCCCAACAAATCTAACCCCGGCTGGTCTGTCACGAAACATGTCGTCTGGATTTGTTTATCGCGGAAGTTTACTTGACAATTCAGTTCACCCAGCAATTTCAGCGTACCTCTTGAAGCATTCCGTGCCGTGTGGTCAGTTTGTATGAGTGTTGGTCGCCCAAGCATGCACCAAGTGTCTCGAGATATCAGGGTGATATCAGAAGCCGTGTCAATTTGTAACTTGACTTAGAAGCCGTTGATTTTCACAATTGTGTATTTGCGCTTGCTGGCGCCGTCAACCTTGAAAGTTGCGGTGATAGACCTGGTCAAATTGGGACGTCGGAACGGTCTGGTATTGTTACGCATCTTCTTGGTCAAAATTGGACGAGTCGCCTGGCAGCATGACTCCTTATGCCCTTTCCTGCCGCAACAGTTGCAAGTGTGAGTTTTGAATGGGCACTCGCGGGCAAAATGCCACTCTCTACAAAACCAACATGCAGTGGGAGGTTTAGAATGCGGTGAACTTACGTGGGTAGCTTCTTTTCGGGGAGTACGGCTGACTGCACAGACAAAATCTTGATCGTTCTGGTTAGACAACTGCTGAATCATTGCGGTATCATGCTTCAGACTTGTCATGCGTTGGCACTCACTGGTCACTTGCTGCAATGTGACATCCGGATTCTGTTCAGTATTCGTGTTCGAATGTCGGCGTCTTTGGATGCTTGTAGGCCACAAACGTATATGAGACATTTAAACTGATCACTTGTCATTTTGTGTAATTGTGAGCGTTCGCACTCTCGATTCACACGGCTGGAATAGTCGACCCAGTCTTCATCTTCTTTTTTGGTTATTGTCAGACACTTGTACCGGATGTTGAACAGAGATGTCTGTTCTCCGAAAATCTGCGACAGGGCTGCAACCACTTCGTCGAAGGACAAATCGGTACTCTTTTTAGGCAAGATAAAATTGGTGAACTTCTCGTGTTCGGCAGCACCCAGCTTCCGCAGCATTAGTCGAATCTTCTTTTCTGCAGGAAGGTTGGCAAAATCAACCCGGAACATATCTCCATACTTGTGGAACCAAGAAACAAATGCTATACCGGCATCAGCGTCATAATGGAATTCACTGATCTGCTGAGTCAGGGTTTCTGGTGAGAGGGCACCTTCACTTGTCCCTAACCCTGGGCTTGACTGCACTGTCATCTTCTGAGTTAGCATCTCGATCAGCTTGGTTTGGGATGCTTCAAACTGTGCCTGTTGTTGCTGCAACAGCATCTGCAATTGTTCAAAGCTGATTGCTATTTCTGGGTTCGGTTGTACTCGCGTCGCCACTGTTATAACGCTGTGCCCTGCAAGCGACCGGTTGATTTACGCCTGCTGCTAAATCTGCGCCCTTACGCGTGCTCTGTTTAACGCCTTGACAAACCCGACCTGAAGGAAGACAGAAGAGTACTCAGCAGACCAGAGTTCTATTAGGGCAATGAAAGCTCATAATTATATGTCGGTATTACAATGCGGATTTGACTATACGCCCACGCTCCACACATACTTGTCCGCTCCATCTATCTAGTTCACCGTGTTGCTCGCGCATTCCAGTCTTCGTCCGCCTACGCAACGCACGGCAACGCGCGTGATGTCTGACGCGCGATTTCATCAGCTTCCGGTCAGGCTTTGGCGACAGGCCCGGTGTCTGATGCGCGATTTCATCAGCTCTCGGTTGGGTCCTGCTAACACACTCGCATGCGCTTTCCCACACACGATAGGTGGCAATCGCGCGAGCGTTGGTACTCAGCCTTCTTGCCCAGCTGTCACAAGTAGAAATTTGGTGTTGACCACACGAAAACTGCACTGCTATGACTCGTTTCGACGTTATTACATCTCCTCAGATAGAGTTCGCGTGCATCGAACCAGGGACCATTGGGATGTTAGTTGTGACCGCTACCTGTAAGCCACGGGGTCGGGGGCAGCGCTTGGCACAACGGTTTAATGAGCGATGCGGAAAGTCATTTTGAAGTGAACGTTGTGTGGATGGATTGCGACGCGCAATCTCAGTGTTGACCACGATTCCCATAGAAGTGAACCTTGGTCTTTCGGTCAGGAGGACCGTAGCTGATGCGAATAGAAGTTTGGTGTTGCCCGCCCGAAAACAGTGCACTGCTGTGACGCGTTTCGAAGCTATTACATCTCATGTGATGGACTTAGCAGGTATCGAACCCGGGACCATTAGGATGTTAGTTGTGACGGTTACTCCTAAGCCACGGGGTCGCGATCAAAGCTTGGCACAACGGTATACTGAACGATGTTGAGGGTCATTTTGATGTACACGTCGTGTGGTTAGCTTGCGACGCACAATCTCAATGTTGACCATGATTACAATTGAAGTGGACCTTGATGTTTCGTTCACGAGGACCACAGCTGATGCAAATGGAAATTTGGTGTTGCGTGCCCGACGACACTGCACTACTATGACGCGTTTTCACGTTATTACATCTCATGTGATAGAGTTAGCAGGTATCGAACCCGGGACCTTGATGATGTTAGTTGTGACCGCTACCTGTAAGCCACGGGGTCGGGGGCAGTGCTTGGCACACCGGTTTAATGAGCGATGCTGAGGGTCATTTTGAAGTAAACGTTGTGTGGATGGATTGCGACGCGCAATCGCAAATTGGACCGCTATTCCGAATGAAGTGAATCTTAGTCTTTCGATCACGAGGACTCTGGCTGATGCAAATGGAAATATGGTGTTGCGCGCCCGAAAACACTGCACTGCTATGACGCGTTTTCACATTATTACATCTCATCAGATAGAGTTTGCATGCATCGAACCAGGGACCATTGGGATGTTAGTTGTGACGGTTACTCCTAAGCCATGGGGTCGCGGGCAACGCTTGGCCCAACGGTATAATGAACGATGTTGAGTGCTACTTTGAAGTACTTGTTGCGTGGATGGATTCCGACGCGCAATCTCAGTGTTGACCAGGATTCCCGTAGAAGTAAACCTTGGTCTTTCGGTCAGGAGGACCGTAGCTGATGCGAATAGAAGTTTGGTGTTGCCCGCCCGAAAACACTGCACTGCTATGACGCGTTTTCACGTTATTACATCTCATCAGATAGAGTTTGCATGCATCGAACCAGGGACCATTGGGATGTTAGTTGTGACTGTTACTCCTAAGCCACAGTGTCGCGTGCAACGCTTGGCAGAACGGTTTAATGAGCGATATTGAGGGTCATTTTGAAGTACATGTTGTGTGGATGGATTGCGACACGCAATCTCAATGCTGACTGCGGTTTCCTTTGAGGCTAACCGTGATCTTTTGTTCAACAGGACCGTAGCTGATGCATATGGAAATTTGGTGTTGCCAGCCCGAAAACACTGCACTACTATGATGCGTTTCAACCTTTGTAGTTCTCCTCAGATAGAGTTAGCATACTTCGAACCCGGGACCATTGGGATGTTAGTTGTGACGGTTACTCCTAAGCCACGGGGTCGCGGGCAACGCTTGGCACGACGGTATGATGAGCGATGTTGAGGGTCATTGTGACGTACACGTTGTGGGGATGGATTACGAAGCGTAATCTTAATGTTGACCGTGATTCTCATTGAAGAGATGCTTGGTCTTTCGATCAGGAGGACCGTAGCTGATGCGAATAGAAATTTGGTGTTGCCCGTTTGAAAACACTGCACTACTTTGACGCGTTTCGAAGTTATTACATCTCATGTGAAGGAGTTAGCAGGTATCGAACGCGAGCCCATTAGGATGTTAGTTGTGACCGCTACCCGTAAGCCACTGGGTCGCGGGAAACGCTTGACACAAGGGCATAATGGGCGATGTTGAAGGTCTTTTTGAAGTAAACGTTGTGTGGATGGATTGCCACGCAGAATCTCAATGTTGACCGTGATTCCTATTCAAGTTATCCTTGGTGTTTCTATCACGATGACCGTAGCTGACGGACATAGAAGTGTTGTGTTGTGCACTCGAAAATACTGCACCATTATGACGCGTTTCGGCGTTATCACATCTCATCAGATAGAGTTCGCAGGCATCGAACCCGGGAATATTGGGATGTTAGTTGTGACCGCTGCCCCTAACCCACGGGGTCGCGGGCAACGCTCGGCACAACGGTATAATGAATGATGTGAGTCATTTTGAAGTACACGTTGTGTGGATGGATTGTGACGCGCAGTCTCAATGTGGACCGTGATTTCCACTGTAGTGAACCTTGGTGTTTCGTTCACGAGTACCGTAGCTGATGCAAATAGAAATATGGTGTTGCCCGCCCGAAAACACTGCACTAGTATGACGCGTTTCCAACATGTTACGTCTCATCAGATTCAGTGAGCAGGCATCGACCCCAGTACCATCGGGTTTTCATTTGTGACCGCTACCCCTAATCGACTGTTTCGCGGTCACAGCTTGGCACATTGGTATAATGAATGATGTTGTGAGTCATTTTGAAGTACAGGTGGTTTGTATGGATTACGACGCGCAATCTCAGTGTTGACCGCGATTCCCTTTGATGTGAACCTTGATGTTTCGTTCACGAGGACCGTAGCTGATTCAAATAGAAATTTGGTGTTGTCCACCCAAACACACTGCACTACTATGACTCGTTTCGACGTGATTACGTCTCATCAGATAGAGTTCGCATACATCGAGCCCGGGACCTTTGGGATGTTTGTTGTGACCGCTACCCCTAAGCCACGGGGTCGCGGGCAACGCTCGGCACAGTGGTATAATGGACGATGTTGAGGTTCATTTTGATGTACAGGTTGTGTGGATGGATTACGGCGCGCAATTGGAGACTGGGACTGAGAGACTGAGACTGTATTTAAGAGCAAGTACAAAGTTTTCTGTACAGCTCTATCGAATTACGAAAAATCAAAATCTACTTTTGAATTATCAGCAGTTGTGTCTGGTCCGTTAGTCGTTTGTCCTTGTTCGGTTAAAAATTTGTGCTAGTGTTATTATTTCCTGGCATGCAATGTCTTCTTTTGGCATTGCATGTGCATCGTTTCACAAAAGCACAGGTTTCCAAAATAATCGTCGTTACGGGTTTTAAAACACTTCACAGAATCGGCCTCTATTAATCCTTCAGGTGGTGTATTTCATAAGTTTACGGTTCTTCGTTTGATACAAAACTGATGGGATACTTTGTTCATGCTGGGGACCCTGAGTTTGTAACGATGTCCTCGGATGTTACAGGGTTCCTGCAGGTGAAATATTGGCCGCAGTATGGGGAAGTGATTCAAGTGTAATACTCGATGGGTCATAATATGGTCAATTCTTACTCGGCGATAGGATAGTGTGTAGAGTCCGAGCTTTTCACAACGTTTTTCGTACGGAAGCTTTCGTAGACTCGGTATCATTCTAGTTGCGATATGCTGTATTTTCTCCAGCTTTTCAGTTTCCCATTGGGTTATCGGATGGTAAGCTGGAGCACCGTATTCAAGGATTGTTCTAATGAGCGAGGTGAATAGACGAGGGACGGTTTCTTCGGACCATGTGGAGAAACTGCGTCTTAATGCCCAGAGCATACGAAGTCCCGCATGGTACAATTTCTCTGTATTTTCTAGTGATCTCAGATCATGTCGTGAGAGAACTCCTAAGTCTTTGACAGATGTGTTGGGATGGAGCAACAGGCCGTCCAATGTGTATGATCGAGTGGCTAGACGTCTGGTGATACTGATGAACTCCGACTTGCTTGCGTTAAGAGGGAGTTGCATTTCAGTGGACCACGTTGACAGTTGCTCTAAGTCATGCTGGAGGCGAGCGCAGTCGTTCTGGTTTTCAATGATCCTCCAGATTTTCAAATCATCTGCGAACAGGGCACATGGTGACTGGAGCTGCTGCGGAACATCGTTGATATGAATAAGAAATAATACTGGTCCAAGTACAGTTCCTTGAGGCACGCCACTGGTCGATGGGAACCAGTCTGTCAGATAGTCATTGACCTGTACTCTAAACCTTCGTCCCACAATTAACTCTTGTAACCACTGAAGTAACGTGCCACCGATTCCGTATATCCTCAGTTTACGAAGGAGTACCTCGTGGTTCACTCTGTCAAACGCCTTACTAAAGTCGATGTAGACCATGTCAACATCCTTCTGTTCATTGAGAGCTCGAACCCACTGGTGGTTTGCGTACATCAAGTTGGTGATGCAGGATCGCCCTTTCGTAAAGCCGTGTTGCGCTGGCGTCAATACGTCCATCGATTCGTAGAACGACAGCAGACACTTTTTCACAACCTCGAGAACTTTGGATAGTACCGAAGTG